GACTTGTCCACTATTTTCTATTCTTCATCAACCTTACGAAAGTAGTCGATGCTTCTTCTCTCTCTCTCTCTCTCTCTCTCTCTCTCTCTCTCTCTCTAAGCTGTCAATGTATTTCTTTTGATCATGTCCCTCTTCTCCTTAACTTTGATGGTTTTTTGTCTAGACCGTCCCCATTTAGATTTGAATTGGCGTGGCTATCAAATAGATATTTATTCAGCTTGATTAAAGATTTCTGGAAAAATACTACCATTGATGGTTGGAAAGGTTTCCAAATTTCAAAGAACCTCCAACTATCGAAACAAAGGATTATTACTTGGAAGATGAATGTTTGAAAAGATTTACAATCTAAAATTGGGACAACAAAGTCTCATATAGAGGAGCTAGTACTGTTCAGTTTATAGGAGGTCCTCTAACACATGATCAATTCAGAGATAGAAGCTTATGGGTGGCTACGTATAAACAATTGCTTAATTTGGAAGAAATTCATTGAAAATAAAGATCTCGTGTGAAATGGCTCAAAAAGGGAGATAAAAACACGAGATTCTTCTATGCTATTGCAAATACAAGGAAAACGGGTAACTCAATTCAAAGCCTCCGTATTGAAAGAATAGACTGTGACAACATGTCAGAGGTTGAAAGGTGGTCGGTTGATCATTTCAAGAAATCTTATGAGGCCGATAGTGGGATGCAACTATCTATTCAAGATCTACCTTCTACTAGGTTGCCATTAGAACAAGCTCAATGGTTGAAGAGAAAATTTGAAAAGCAAGAAATTAGAGATACATTCTCTTGCCCAGGCAGAGATAAGGCTCTTGGACTAAATGGATACCCAATGACTTTTTTCAAATTTTTTGGGATATTTTTAAATATTATATTGTTTAATTATTTGAAGAATTTTATTGGAGATGTTAAATTAACTACCCTTGAGAATTTATGGGGGTAATTTTGGTTAATTTATATTTTACGAATTAGTTTTTTTCATATTTTTATTAGGTGCGTATCACTAAGATATACACATGCTCCAAATTTGAGATGATTTATATTGGAAACAAAAGAAAACAAAAATTGAAACATTACTGGACCACTACCACCGTGCGATGAAGTTTGGTTGGTAATTAGGATAGGTGAAATGACTGTTTATTTTTTCCTATAGGCATTTTGTAGTATCTTCATATATATATATATATATATATATATATATATATATA